GAAGCCGGTCATTAGAGGCGGAGTTTAGAGGCGGTCACTGGAAAAAAGGAGGAGCCACTGAACCTATATTGCGCTACAGCGCCCCTCCCATAGAATTTTTTGCCGCGAAACCGGTACAAGGTTGTTCGTCGCGGACCACTCTAACCTCCTGACGCCATATTTTCAACTTCGATACCTGATCGCGGACCGTGCCTTTAAGGCACAAAATTCTTTAGTGCCAGGCGCATCGACCTCCTACGCCTTGCCGATTTATCATGCTACTTCTCTTTAGGAGCCAACCCTGAGAGCCCAAAATATCAGAGGTCATCACCAGGTCCATTTAAAAGAAGCCGCTACACCGCACTCTTTTTTATGCTGCGCCGTAACTTAGAAAAACCATGCAGGCTCTCGGAACGATAAGAACGGTACCTTTCGAGAAATTCAGGAGTTATGACTGCTCCAGCCAACGTTCCATTTGCCTTCATTTCTTCTTGTGAGGAGATCGAAGAACCCGATGGAATTCTAGAAAGTTTCGTAGATTGAAGAATTCTTTTCCAGAAGCGCACTTGCAAGATCACGCAGAAAAATTTAATGAAACAAAACCCACTTTCTGTGCGTTTTGGGACTGTCTGTATTACCATTCGCTTTTACTGGTTCCCATTTACGCGGTACATTCCCTGTGTTTGGCGCTGCAAAGCCGTTGACTGGTGGAATTGTACCACATCCGCTATCCGATGAACCTGAAAACGTCACAATCGGCTACTCCGGTTTTGATTCAAACCAAAATTACTATAGCTAACCGTTGCTGGCATTGGATTTGGAGTCGGCTGCATCTGCTTTGGCTTGGGTAATTTTCTTCCTGTTGAAGGTTGCGGCTAGTTCCGATAGTAGATCAACGTGAGAGGATCCAGCAACGCTAGGGGCTGAAACCGAAGAGGGATCCGCGATGGAGACTGAACGAACGTCTTTAGCAGCAGTAGTCTTCTTCAGTTGTGCACCTCGAAGCTGGTCCGCAAAACTGAAACAGCTTTGGTGTAACTACTACTTTGATCCTGACATGATTACAAGCTGATTACCTTGTTCCTCTAGAAGCATCGCTCTTCAGAAGGTTGGGTGGAGGTGGAGGAGGTGGTGGAGGAGCAGAACTTGCTGGTGGAGGAGGAGGTGGAGCAGGAGGACCAGAGGAAGATGTTGAGATGGGAACCGGTGGAGCCGGAGGAGCTGGAGGAGGACCGGGAGCACTACGAGATGGGCTTGCCGATTGTTGCTGAAAAAGATAGATTAATTACACCATAACATTCAGGTCCATTCCGCTAATTTCTAGAACAGCATTGTATCACTGACTGAGGCTACTCTACTGACCTGAGAGTAGATATTACATGGTCCGCTGGAAGACGAACTTGAACCTTGAGATGATCGCCTCTGCTGCTGACTAAGCGCGGCATTCCCTTGTACACAATGAGATGACTTTCTGTAAAATCATTGCTGAAGTGAACGAGTTGTTCAACCGTAATGCGTGACTCATAATGCCCTTCATGTTTTCTTACGGATTCATGACTCATGCTAAATGGTACATGGCCTGTACCAACTGATCAGATCTATCTGATAGCATAAACAGATGCCCCTATTGGGATTCCAAAATTAGAATAAACTTCGCGCCAATCGATTCCTTGAAAAAGCATCAGATGTATCCAAAACGACCACATACTGGTCGGTTTCGCTGCAGGAAGAAAAAAAAAAAGAAAAAGAACGAAAACAGTTCTCACATCAGAAAGCGCCAAGTTCTGTTCCTGCTTTCTGTTACCTACGCATCGATAGCTGCTTCACAATCAGGACATCTTTTACGTTGAGGAATACCCAACAAGGGGGGTCGTATTCGTTCGCTGGTGGAGGGGTGGGGATCGTATTTGCCTCTGTGAGCAACTTTTCGGTCAATAACTTTTCAAGGTTTTATTTTTCATCATTTCACGTGATAGTATTTATCATCCCAAAGTTATTTTTGGAGGAATAAAGCGAAGAATTTTGAATAGAAAGAAACTAGAAAGGTGTAGAGAAGGTTGGGGAGGGTAAGGTATGTTCTGCCGGGCTACGCGGGTGCTATGTCGTTTGACTGTGGTTTGTTAAAGGCGGGTTCGTACCTACCAGTCAGAACTTATCGGGTCTATACTCGCATAATTATCTTCCCCAACGCGTAAGGACGTGCCCTGGCTCATAATAGCGAGTGGGACACATGAATAAATTGGGGCTCCCTTCTCGAAAGGCCCAACAAAAACTTAAGAGAGCATAAGCACTTGTTACCCTTCATGACCCTTCTCCTCAGTATTCGAGCAAGACTTTTTATTGAATTCTGGGCACCTATCCAACAGCCACCATTTCAAGTCCCGAAAAGGTTAAACATTGTTCCTAGGGGTAACTCGGTGCCCTGATTGGACGTCCATTTCCGATGGAGCGCTATCACAAGCAAAATTCGCGCCACGGCTATCTCACAGAAAACGTTATAAATTTGCACTCAGGGTAAACAAGGGCCATGGCCATGACTTTGACGACGACCATTTTTAACGCCGGTATCATTGATAAGAACCCTTGATTAACAGCATCTGTACGTCTATAACAAACTCGGTGGCCTACTTCGGGGCCAGCAACGGTCCTGCGTATTCCAACAGAAGCACTTTTTGTATGAACTCCGTGATTTATTAATATTTCAGAAACCAGCCGGCTATAATTTGCTTCGACAGTTCGAAAGGACACCGCGGTTTCTGTCAAGTTTTATGGCAATTCCGTCAAACTTTCGCGTTCTGCTTGAGATGATTCATCACCGAATCATCACCATATCACTTCTTCAGATCTACTGAACAGTGAGCGAACATATTTTTCGAGAAACAGACGATTTGAAGGCTAGAAAGTAGTTCTAAAGAAAAAAGGAATGGAGAAGATTATGATGAGCGAAAACCGAAAGAAATGGGTTCACTGCCTTCGAATAAAGACAAAACAAGTTACACGTCTTCACAAACCTGAACCCAGGATGCATAGAGTTGGTCTGCAAATGTGACGACGCGCTTTCTTCCTCACGAAACGATGGAGCCGATTGGATATGTGACATCATATGGTGTGGTTCCTGATAGACGTTCTCTGCAATAATACAACAATATTTATCAAGTATGTCCTGTTCCGCGCGAGAAACATGTGATTGCATGGGGTTATTAATACCTTTTAGACCTAAAGTAGCCAAACAACAG